AAGTGAAATATCTTTAAAAGCATAACAATTACACACAAAAAGAAGTCATGGTGGATCATTCCTGACAAAGATTAATATTTTGATATATGAGCACTCAAAAGAACAAGAAGTATGAAGACGTAGTTTGACTGCAAAAAAACAAACAAACAAAAACTATAAAGAGGAAAAAATAGAGTGGAAATGCTGACTCAGTGTTTACATAATCAAACTGCTAAAATTAGACAAAAGACAAAGGAAGGTATAAATCACTAAAACAGCAGGAGGAAAAAGTTAAAACTTTGCCATCAGAGTATTGATGAATCATTTCTCTTGATCTTGTGACACTCACATAAAGAGAAACGTTGTTTTTGTTCCAGAGATGTTTTGTAAGTTGAGATGAGCTCAGTGAGTCCTGACGCTCTGCCTGGAGTTGAACACTCATTAGCAGGAATGATCACTGCCCAGAACCATGGAACACTTAACATTTGTGACAACTCCGTTGCACAACAGTCAGCATCAGTTTCCCCCTCGTTGCTGCACCAAAGAATTCCAGCATGAAAACGCTGCTCTTACGCAACCTTTAAAGCTCAAAGCGCGCATCGTTTTCACTTCTGAACAAATCCGTAACAGAATTCTTGTCCGTTAGAACCAGGATTCCCTGGATGAGCAACAAAAGCATCATCATGTCCTTTAAAGGCTTCTACTTTAGGCCAAGATACAGCGATGTGTGCATTATTAAAAATAATTATAAAAACACAAGGTCAAGAGTTTTAATCCCATTTGGCAGCAGGGGCAGTTTTGCACCTGCAGTGTCTGACTCTGTGGGATAGTGTTGCACCACAAACAAAGCTCTGTTAATCACAGCTGAGCTCCACTAGACTGGAAAATGGTATTTCTGAATGTTTCTGCCATTTGGCACAATTTCCTCATTCTCATTAAATTTATCACTGAAGAATCAAACAAAAACGAACTGGACACCACAACTCGGGGCCAGGTTGTTACCATCGGTTCTTCAAAACATTATTTTACATTTCAATCAATACTTCTATAGTGCATGAATATAGTAAATATTTCTTTGAGTCACTTTAACATGTTGCCCTTTTTATATTTGTTTGTGAAGGTTTTGGTGAATGAGCAGCTGATCCTTGATTTTCTCACAGGAACCGAAGGACCCAACTACCTAACGACTGACCTACCTAATAATCTATCTACCTACTTATCTGTGGTATGTTTGTTTGCCTGTTGTGTTAGCAAAATATCTCATGAATTTGAATTAAACTCAGTAACCAGTTATTGGATGTGTATCTCAAACTGCCCGCCTCACACACAGTCAACCTGATTTAAGATGGCTGCCCCAGCTGAACACCCCTAGAAATGATTCAAATGGTTAAAAATTGGTCATTTTACAGATGTTGAGCTAAGATTTGGTGTGGTAGTAGCTGAGAGTCACCCTCATCATTTACTCTGAGCGGTAACAGATCACACATTATTGCTTAATGTTTTCAGGATTGGACCAAATCAGTCCAAACTTTGTGATTTTCTATAAGACGATCTTTGTTCTAAACTCGGGGGGGTGATATGCCTTCCTATTTAAATCTACAAACAGGCGATCCAAAAACTAAACATTATCATGGCTTCTGCAACAGGATGATAACGTTTGAATTTGGTTGTGATTGTCCACAAAAGTAAGATTTAAAAGAGAAATTTTGTGCAGACCTGAGAGGAAAACCAATCGATTTGGACAGAAATGATTTTTCATGAATACAGTTTGAGTTACTGTGCCTGATATGATGAAACTAAATCTATAAACAAATGTAAACATTTAAAATCTACACTTTAAACTTATTTCTTCTGCCTGATTTATCCCTCCGAGGCTGAAAGTGCATTCCACATCTGCAAGCTGCTCCAAAGACAAATAATGGAAATCATATGAGCGACAGGCTGGAATCAAACAGGGAGTGTAGAGAAAAACAGAGCACGAGCAGAAACTTCAGATAACTCTGACCAGACCCTGCTGTGGTTCAGTTTCTGATGTAATAAAAGGCTTGTTGTGAAGTTTCTGGGATTGTTTCAGTAATGTGGACCATAAATCAAACTGGGCTACAGAGATCTGCTCAAAGCATCAAACACTCAGGCTTAAATGACCAATAACCACATTTAATCCCGACCGGATTGGTGAGCTAACAGCTAGTCTGAACACGGCCAGTAGAAAGCTGCTGTCCTAAAATAATAATTATAATCATTTCATAGCTGCCCTAGTTTATGAATCATTACATCATCCGTTTTGTGTCATACAGTTTTTCTGTCAGAAGTATTGTGATGTTCCTGCAGTAGTTTTAAAATCATTACAGCTTCTAAATGAACCTAAATATGTTGTAAATATCTGCAAAGTGAACGTTTGTTTCCTGCTCGTCTGTTAATAAATCTAAAATTGTGTGTAATGGAAGCTGAAAATCATCCCAAACATACCTGGAGTGTGACAGGCTGGTACAAGATCTTTGTTAAAATCACTGGCCTGCAAGGTGGCGGGTGATATGCATTCCTTCGAGGAATGTTAGCTAAAAATAACGGGTTTGAGATTATTTTAACTGTTTTAATCCACTTTAATCTGCACACAGGCTAGCTGTTGGCCTATCAGGCAGGTTAGAATAAAACTGTTTGTTCAAAGAGCTATCTACAACAGGTAAGACGCTAACTGTTCAGATCCACAGAACCTGTCTTTATCAGATATAAACTTTCCATTTAATGTGTAGTGAGACACGTTTTGTCAACTTGTTCTTTTGTGTGTGCTGGGGAACCTTTAGGGAACCTGATCAACCTTTTTTTTTTTGATTGACAAGTACAAATGCACACATATAATTTAAACTCTGCCAACTTCTTTTTCTCACAAGTGAATCCTGTTTGGTTCACGTGATGCATTCGTGATGGGTAAACGTCTGGTCGCAGCAGCTGCTCCAAACCATCACACTCACAGAAATAACTTCTGCAGAAGACACCCCGTCACAACGGAGGCACTGCAGCCACACCTGCTCAGGTATCAGGAAGTGAATGTTGTTTAGTTTGGAGAGTGGTGGTGCAGAGGTTAGAGAAGGTGGGCCTGCGATCGGAAGGCCACCAGTTCGACATCATAATGTGGGTGAAAAAGGTGAAAAACCCACACCTGCCTCCACCCTCACTGACCCCACTCTGGGCCCCTGAGCAAGACCCTTGAGCTCCCATGAGTCCTCGTGACTCAGTGCTTTGACCTTTAAATAAATAAATTTAAAAATGACTAAAGAATAATTTGTAATTCACAGAGTGGGTCAACGCTTCAAGGTATTAATCTTTGCTCTTAAATTAATATTTTTAACATGAGGTTTATTTCCATCAGCTCCACTCCCACCAACACGACCACAAAAGCACCTGCAGAGGTGGAGGCTGGGCTCAGCTTGGGCCTGCTGGTTCCCAGGCCTTCTCCAGGGCCATCTTGTGTTTTATCATCAAGTCGTGCAGCAGCGATCGAGCCTCTCTGTTCACACCTTTGCTGCCACCTGTACAGGAAACAAAGATGACGATGTGAGGCTGAGATCAGCTGCCAGAGGCTACAGCCAGGAGGCGGCTACACACCTAAGGTGACTACTTTTATGGCTGAGCTCGCTTTCATTTCCTTCATCATCTCGTCGACCCTTTGAGACGCCCGCATCTTTGGTCTCACAGGCGGCAGCTCCTTTATCTGTGCCCAGGAAAAAAAAAAGGGGGGTACTGACGTTGTGTGATTTATTGGAATTTAAAAGCTTTGACATGCGTGCGAAAGCGTTTCTGAGTGGCAAAATGTCAAACCTTTTTTTCCCTCTCTCTGTAAGGAGTCTGGATGCTATCAAGCTTTGGTTTGGAGTCTCTGTAGACATTAAGATTCCTCAGTCTGTGCTCTAACATTCGAACAGCTGTGTGGATTCCTATTTGAGGAAAAGGAGAACATCACTGCTCCCCATGGGGGTAAATGTATACTCAAACTCCTGCATGTACAACACATTAAACAGCTGTAGAGAAACATTTATCGCTCCTCACCGATGGACTTGAGCACATCAGGGTTTGCTTTAATACCCTGAATTGTTTTGTAGCTTGTGGATTCTTCAGGACCGCTACTGTTTCTCAGCCTCTTTTGTGATGAAGAAAGCAGCTCAAACTCAGGCTCATCCTCTGCCTGGAAAAACAACATCATTCTTTTAAAAGTAGTTGATACTTCTTTATTCAGACAGGAGGGTTAGGTCACGTCACACCTTTTTGTAGTGTTCCTGTTACTTATGTTGGGATGAAAAGTGCGCTGCTGCAATGCGTCTGTCAATGTTTATGCAGACTATTGAGATCCTGTTTGTTCCTCCGATGCCATTAAAAAAACCTCTTTATAACTATTGCTTACTTGATCTTATTGCAACCATTCAAACTTTTAAGTGTTAAGAGCATTTAGGTAATGGTTGCTATGACTTTTGGGTCTATTTATGTTTTTTGAAATATTGAGCTTTATCTAAGCACCATTAAGGAAACGTTGTATAAGTTAGCAGCTTGGATTTGGTCCAACACTGCCCCCCTCTGACAACATTTTGTGGAGCTTCTGCAGACAGACTCCGTTAAACAGCAAAGGTCCAGAGATCACAGAACTATAGGTTATTCTTTCCAACATTATAAGTTAAAGAAGTCTATTTTTATGCAAATAAGCTGCTGCAGTGCAAACACAGCTTACAGCCTAAACATTTAGCATTAGCTAACACAGACATATAACTCAAGTACTTTGTACAAAGTACTTTGTACTTCTTAATGTTCAGCTTTTCTGCTGCCCCTTCCTTCTAAACAAACCTTAGTTAGGTTTTATCTTTAAATACATCTGTACTCGACTTCTTTGATTACAACATGAGAGTTGACATTTTCACATCATTTTAATGTTAAATTTCATTGTATTGCTAGATCTTGTACTATCAGTATCACTACTGCCCATTTCTAGGAGTGCTATTACTGTGCTTCCGGCTGTTTAGATATTTCTGCTTAATGATAGTAAAAAAAAAAAAAAAGACTGCAAATAAAACTATTTTGCATTTCGTACACACTTGTTTGTTTTTTTACAGAAAATGTGAATATTTTATTAACCTTTATTTAACCAGGCAAATCACAATGAGATCACAAGATTTATTTTGTCTAACATGCATGTTTTTGGACTGTGGGTGGAAACCGGAGTACCTAAAGAAAGCCCATGCAAACACGAGGAGAACAGAAAGACCCCAGGCCCAACCCGGGGCTTGAACCCTGGACCTTCTTGTAAGGCAAGTGATAACCACTGAGCCATCAGGCTGCCAGGATCTTCTTGTCACATTTCTTCCATGAGCCTGTGGTCCTGGGCCATCTGCAGCCATTATAGTCATGTCATCCATCCATCCATCCATCCATCCATCCACTATCTTTACTCACTTCTTCCTTTTCGGGTCACTGGTGCCCATGTCCAGCAATCACAGTGCGAGAGGCGGGGGACACCCTGGACAGGTCTCCAGTCCATCACAGGGACACATAGAGACAAACGAGACAAACAACCATTCACTCTCTCACTCACACCTAGAGACAATTTAAAGTTACCAATCAGCCTAACATGCATGTTTTGGTCTGTGGGAGGAAACAGGAGTACATGGAGAAAACTCACGCATGCACGGAGAGAACATGCAAGCTCCACCCAGAAAGGCCCCCAGTCGGGATTTGAACCGATGACCTGCTCGCTGAAAGGCGGCAGCTCTACCAGCTGTGCCACTGTGCTGCCCACGACTGTATATCTACGTATTTTAAAAATGTGTTTAGGTTCAATCAGCTGTTGACTCAGAAAACTGCCGTGTCACACTGCGACTGACAGTCTGTGAGTGAGTTGGGAGGTTGTGGAGGCAGGACCTTGGTGTTGATGGGACATCCCTAAATTCCTACTGCACAAACTCTGCTTCCAAAAATACATCATAGCCACTCTCAAATGGAAGGTAACGGGAGTTGCTTCATCATTCTTCATCTATCAATCAATCAACCTTTATTTATACAGGTAAATCCCATCTATGCTGAGTGTTAGCCTAGCATAGCATGAGATTTTGAGATGTTAGGTCATTGCTACATAAGGATTATTACTTTGACATACGCAAGTTATTTGTGACATTTCAGTCATGTTATGGTGTTTTGTTCACTTTAACAAATATTTAGCAACCCGGCATCGCTTGAGATGCCTCTAGGTGTGCTAAAGTACCAGATACGTGAAGAGGATGTTATTTTCTTACAGTCACATATCTCATTCCTGAAAGAACACACGGCAAGTATCCTGATGCATGCTCAATAATTCAGGTAGAAAAATCTAAAAAAAGTTAAGTCTGGTCCTCTGGACGGGTTCAAAAAACCCGGCAAGTACATAAATGGCAAGTAAACATGATGGCAAGTATATAATATGTAACACATATTAGAAGAGAAACTCCATACCTGAGTGATAAAGAAGTGTTTCATATTTTTATGGACGCTGGTGTTTTTGTCCTCCGATTGGGTCACTTCCTGGATAGTCTCTTCACATTTTTCATTCTGCGTTTGTGTCAGACAAACTGGATTCGTTAAAAATCGTCTTTTTGACACATTTCTGAGGTTTTCTTCCACCTACTATGCAAAAATATTTACATAGAAAATGGAATGACTGACAGACATCAGACTTCATCAGCAGAATGCCTTCCTTGGTTATATTTTGTTAGATTTAAATTCTCTCAAGCTTCCATGAAGAACCTGACCTTCCATTTCGGGTCAACGAACACTTGTAGAGGAAGCTTCTTGGCTTTTTGTTCGTTGTGTCGCTTTATCTCTATTCCTCGTCTCTCCTGGAGATAAAAAGTCAGGAGGGGCAAGCCTCCCGGGTTCAAACAAACAAAAAGTTTAACTCTTACTCACACTTTATTAACTCTTTAAAACAGTAGAACTACCTCTTTTCTGTGTGATCAATGGGTTGGAGTGAATCTGGATTTCTCTGAGCTTCGGGAACTGAGCGGCACCAACCAGAGCTTCTTCTGTGGAAATCTGATGACGACACACAAATGAGACATGCTAGATGTTTTCATCTTGTTTTTTATGTAGCGCAGCAGCACACCTTGTTCTCAGCTAAATTGAGATGCTGGAGTTCAGGTAGAGGCAGAGGGCGTCCTTTCCTGTCCTTGTCCCAGCTGTCCATCTGCAAGGTCTCCATTGTCTTCAGATATTCATCACTGTTCGTGTGGCCTGAATTAGGGAGCAAAAAATAAATAAAAATCACTACCTGTCAGGTTGTAAATCTTTATAAAATGTCAAGTCTCTCCTGAATGTTTACCTCCATCTTCAGCAGAAGACTGCCCAACGTTTGAACTGTCCCCCACTTTTATAAGTGGGACTGCAGAAATGCGATTCCCCTGCAGGTTTAGGTTCTGAAGCCTGGAAATGAGAGTTGACCCGTTCTGTGATTTGGGCCTGCGTTCACTAACACGCAGGAAATCTTTCTCAACATCACAAAAAAAGGTTAAATTGTGTCATCTGGACCAATTTCTTTAAGTGAGAAACGTTGTGTCCTCCATCCAGAGAACTTCTTCAGTCTGCGGCCTGCCAAAGAGATCTGTCCCTTAGGTAGTCTTCACTGCTGGAATCTCAATAGACTTTGCAAAACAATCAATCATCATTGGATGTTTCTGTGAGAAGCAAGTTGGCTACCTGGCCTAAAACATTTGATTGTTGCACGTGATGATTGTTTTGCATGTGTTAAAAGCCTATTGAGATTCCAGCAGGAGGTTGGATTGAAACACAGCAGTGAAGACTACCTATGGGACAGATCTGGTTGGCAGGCCGTAGACTGAGGAAGTCCTCTGGATAGAGGACGCAACGTTTCTCACTTAAAGAAACTGGTCCAGATGACACGATTTAACCGTTTTTGTCGTCATCTACCTGGATGATTGAGCTTACAAGCCTTTTCGCAGCATACCTCTTCAGGTTCGTCAGGCTGAAGAAGACATTGGAGGACAGCCTGTTGTTGTCGAGCAGCAGGACTTCAAGAGCTTCAAACTGTCTGACTCCCTCTTCAGCCGGCCTGCGGGACAAAATAAAATAACAAATAAAATGAGGATTTTCACAATAAGTGAATTTCACAACACCGTTAGATTTATAAAGTTTGAGCAAAAGCACAGAGATATTTTCAAAACTTAACCAGGATCAGAAAGGGAAACAGAGATAAATTATTTTGATATTTTCTGTCCTTAGGTGGAAATTCGGAGCACATGTGCACCTACTTTTGGCCAACTGCTGTAGAGTTTGGGTCCTAAATAAAAAACGTTTTAGTAAATAGTTCAACCATTAGTTATATGCTGAATGTTTTTATTAAAATACAATAACTGAAAGATAAAATAACTACAAACTATTTCAGGGCTGCAAAACATGATTTGTAAATTGTTACAACAGAAAATATAAAGAAACTGGTCCAGATGACATGATTTATTCTTTTTTTGTTATCTATCTGGATGATTGAGCTTACAAACCTTTTTTTTTAAACTGAAAATATGTTTGAGTGATGAAGTATTTTGTATAAATTGTTTAAAATAAATAAAATCTGGTCTTTGATGTAACACCTATAAAACAAAATGGCCCAAACACACTGAAGCTTCACCAGACTGTAAGCTGATTGTTATTTAATATTTTGGTGTAAAAACAGATTTTTACTTTCAGACGTCTTTATCAAGCAGCTTGTTAAAGCCTCACACGTGTGCGCTGCAAAATTTAAATCACTGTTTAGTAAAACTGTTGAAGCTGCTTTGGTTTTGACAGAAAAATACTTTTAAAAGCCATTTGCAGAGAAAAACATTTTTAATCTGTGGTTGGGTCTTTTTGTCTTCATATAATAAAAGTTATCACTGACTTGTTTAAATTAAAGTACTTACAGCTCAGCATGGTCGGGCTCTGAGGAAGCAAAGGTAAGAGGAAGACGATGGAGCTGATTTCCAGTCAGATGAAGGGTTCTAAGACATGGAAGCTGACCGAGGGAGACTAAACCCTGAGCTGATAGGTGGTTGTAGGACAAATCTAAAACCTGTGAGGGTTGAAACTCATTAGACGAAGACGAGTGGTGATTCTGCCTCTCTGTGCCGTTTCATTGTACCTCCAGGTGAGGGAAATCAGCAGCGTGAAATGACACGTCGTGGATTCCATTTAAAGACAAGTTGAGTTCTCTCAAAGACACAAAACAGCCGAAGGATCCTGGAGAAAAGAGCAAAGTGTTTCAGATAAAGACTAGAGACAGAAATAAAACCAGGCTGAAGATGTAGAACAATCACCTAAAGTGAGGGCGTTGATGGATGCGTCGACCTGAGCGACGTTTGTAAACAGCTTCAGGCCTTCTGGATTCACCTGTGCACGTTAGAGAAGGAGCTATGAGTCATGTTTTAGGTGGATAGGGGGCGGGGGTCAGAGGAGTCTGGACCCCATGAAAATCCCTGTTATTAAAAGGATCTCCAACAAGCTGGACCAACAGACCTAATTTGATAAACAGTTCATTCAGCTATAAAAACAAGTCAGTAAAAATACTGGAGGCTGTTTAGGTTTTATATATATTTTAAAAATTAAAGCATGCTTGTTGCCATTTTATTTATGCAGCAATGCATTCTGGGTAAATGACATAGACAGGTTGAGCTCCATTCAGCTTGAATGTTGATTTCAGTTCAATTCAGTTTATTTCTGTTGCGCCAAGTCCCAACAGAAGTCGTCTCAGGGCGCTGAACACAAACATTAATATATATAAAAAGTAAGTTAACACAATTTATCTGAGGAGCAGACTGCTTTGAATTTAACTCCATCAAACAACTCTCATCTTGAGCAAGCATGAAGGCGACAGTGGAAAGGAAAAACTCCCTCATGAGGAAGAAACCTCCAGCAGAACCAGGCTCAGGACAAGCTGGGTTTGAGAGGAACATGAAGGAGGAACAGACACACAATGGCAGGTCAAGAATCACATGTGAAGATAGAAATAGTATCAAATGAAAACTATTAAATTTGAACAATTCATTTAAGGAAATGAGGTCAATTTGTCCTCCAGTAGTCTAAGTTTAAGGCAGCATAACAATCCAACCCTAACTATAGGATTTATCAAAAAGGAAAGTCTTAAAACTGGACAATGTGTCAGCCTCATGGACAGAAACTGGAAGTTGGTTCCACAAGAGAGGAGCCTGATAACTGAAAGATCTTCCTCACATTCTGCTTTTGGAAACTCTAGGAACCACAAGTAAGCCTGCAGTTTGAGAGTGAAGCGCTTTGTTAGGAAAATATGGAACAATAAGATCTGTAATATAAGATGGAGCTAGGTTGTTGAGGGCTTTGTAGATTAGAAGTAAGATACTCCTACTAACTCCAGTTAAGACTCTGGCAGCAGCATTTTGGATCAACTGAAGACTTTTTAAAGAAGTATTTGGACACCCAGATAACAAACCATTGCAATAGTCCAGTCTAGACGTGACAAATGCATGAACCAGTTTTTCTGCATCATTTTTTTTAGACAAGATGTTTCTAATTTATGTTATGTAAAATATATATAGAATGTTATATTTGTTAAGTTTAACTTTAATTGGAACCGGAGCCCGTTGACAAAGAATGGAGAAATGACTCAGCTTTCATGTTAGCTCCAGAGCTAATAAATTAAACATCACAAGTTGATTGTTTTGACCCGTATTTTGTGATTCATTTTGAACTAATAAAAACTATAACTATCTTCACATGTTATGACTTTTTGTTCTTGACTCCTTGAGTTTAGTCTCCACTACAACCGATGTATGTCACGTTCCCATAATATACTCTGTCAGTAAAATAATGGTGATGTCCTTAAGTGAAAAATGTAATGAATATGTATAACTTTTTAAGTAATTGGAAATTCACGTGCCACAAACAACTAATAGAGAAATAACATATTAAAGCTTATATGTGCAGGTAATCAGAGATCCCTTTAAATCTTCTGGTTTAGTCCTCCAAGCAATGAAAGAGTTTTACGCCCTCGCCAGCAGATTAAACATTAGAGTAAAAGAGTTAAATGTCTCACAGAATTCAGTTTCCGCTCATTGATGTCAACGGAGCAGAGCTGGGAGGGCTCGTCAACAAAATGCAGCTGGAGCTACAAGAACAACAAAATAAATAAATTACCAGCTGCTCTGCCATTCTGACGGGCGAGTATTTCTGATCCCTACCAAGAAGTCTGCATCTAGCGTGGCTCCACGAGGAGCCTGGACGTTCTCGTTTCTATAGGTCTCCTTAGTTCTTCTGTGCATGTTTCTGTGTCTCTGCCACTCAGTCTTCCTGTGAGCCATGAGCCAGTGACCGACACCTGCAA